CACGGGCTTGTAAAAGCTCAGATGACCGAGGCTGTGAAGATGACAGTGATGAAGCTGAGAAGCCACTTAAAAGTGACAAGGAGCTTCCTGGTATGCAAGTCCTAAATCAGTCTGCCAGCAAAGTTTGCTTTGTTTCATGGTTTCCCGAGCTTTGACTGTTATGCACAGACTCTTTACTGTCGGTGTCGTTTGTTTTTTCTCAGAGCAACAGTGCGCAGACCTGCAGAGTGATCTTGAGGACTTTGATCTGCTGGAGTCTGATGCTTCTGACTGTGATCCGAAGCCACAGTTTCTACCTGAGGACAATGAAGTGAACCCAAACACAGAGCTACCCCACGTGCATCTCGCACACAACCCAGATACACTGCACAGAAAAGAGAGACTGTCCCCCGACTGCCCCAAACTCACAGCGGTCCAGCACCAAAGCAGCTCCTTCTATCTTAATGCAGACCTTCGAAGCACAGACGCCAAACCCAAAATCTGGTCCATCGCTCACACTGCTGTGTCTTTGGATGCCAGCTTGCAGTCCGAGTACCCGCCGTGTATGCTGTCATCAACCGGTACTTCCTCGTCACCCGGGTATCCGACCAACATGGCACTCACCAAGACAGAAAGGCAACAGGAATCTCCAGTCGCCACACTCAGAGAATGGGTGGATGGCGTTTTCCACGGCCCTCCTTTCCAACAGCCCAAACCGGCTGAGGTGTGGAAAGGCCTAAACGAAGCTACGATAGAGAGCAGAACACCTGGACAGTCCTTTGAAATTGGGCGGTCTGCTTCAGCTTTGTAGTCCATCAACAAGCCATCGTTGGGAGAGACTGACTTAAACTCGACTTAAAGTGAAAGTCGATATTTTGACTGTGTGACTTGATCAGCTGACCGTTCACTAAGAGCCACTCCCTGTTTGCCTGTTGAAGTTTCCATTTTGTTTTAAGGCAGGACCGCCAGTTCAAGTTCAACAACTGTTTTTGCGGGCTTGAAGACAGTGGGTAAAAATGTCATGCTTAGAGTAAAATCTTAGTATCTTTATCAGCTCACAATCCAGACTGAGCCATGCTAACAAGCTTAAGTGAAAGCAGTGTCATCCCCCGTTGCACTGTTTTTCCTCGTTCAGAGAATGGTTTAAAAAAGACATTCCTTTTACTAAAGGCCCATGCACACTGCTTCAGGAAATCCAAGGCCCGGCAGACCCGCTCTGCATAGTCACAGTTGCTAAGATATGATTGGAAAATAGTTTATTTTATTGAAGGAATTTAGTGAACGGTCAGTTATCGGTGTATGATCCTAATGTGGCAATTTGATATTCTCAATGCTCTCTTACAAGTTACAGACTGTTGCAAACTACATCAACGATCAACTGTCACTGCACACTTCTCTGCTCCAAGGCTGTATGATGCACACACATGAAAAAATACAGTGTTGTACACTTGCACTATAGCCTGCACATGCACTGAGTCACAGAAATAAAAGGCGTGTTCCTTAGCATGGCAAAGTTCTCCGACTGTGCCCTTACATTAGCTGCCCGCTGTCTGGAACCAATAGTAGAATCACGTTAGCTGATATAAATCCAGTTCAGGGGAAAGGGAATATACCTCGGCAGTTTTGGATGCGTGTGTGTGTGTGTGTGTGCCACAGACAGGGTATTTGTGTGTGTTTTGAAGGAAAGAAAGGGGGAATGTGAGTGGTATTCAGCCGTGACTAATGGAAACACACAGAGGAGGGTGCTGCTAAATTGTTAAATCGATGCCACTTCCACCTCGGCTCCAGATATAGCTGCAATCAGCGATGCGTCTCTTTTCATTAGGCGGCTTTTGACTTTGTCAACCTGGGACTGCAAGAAAATCCACCACAAGCAAAATGCTTCATAAAAGCTCTTAAGTAATTTTAACTAAGTGTCACGTCTTTATCCCCTCTGGTGATTTCTTTTTCATGCAGGCAATAAATAGAAAAGATTGCTATAATAAACAGGAATCAGGCAGTTATCATTAGCCTAAATAACTTTTTTTTTTCAAGAAAAAATGCGTTTTCATCAACTTTAATTATTAAAGGAACCTCCACAAATTTCACAAATAAAGCACAACAAGAAACAGTGAAGAGCTGTTGTCTTTTTCCTTCACCCCCCCAACAATATTTCTGCTCATCCTGTTTTCGATTTAGGAGCAGTGATAAAGTATTTATCAGAACAGAGGAGGGATCTTCCTGGGCTTTGTATGGAATTAACCATTTCAAATTAAATAATTCAGGATGAATTCAACCGAGAATTTCATTCTGTTTCTGCTTCATAAATAAGTAAGATCTAAGATGATAAATAATGACATCTGACTTTTTATTTCTGGAAAGTTTTCTTTCTCCCGCTTGCTGGCGACTGGGATCTTATTTTGGTAGGCTGCAGATATATCTTTCATATTTTTTCCTCAAATTTTTACATTTTTCAATCCAAATTTAATGAACCAGAACAGGTACAATTTTGTTTCTGGCTTAAAAACAATCTTGAGGCAGATTTGACTTCAAAAGAAGAAGTACTAGTGTTGTGAAGGACGCGGAATGACAGCCAGATAAGAGGTTGGCTTTGTGCTAAGTGGGGAAAGAGATATAAGGGTATACTTGCTCTCACCCTTAGCTGTTTGAGAAAAAACGTTTTTCCTCTGGTAGAGAGAACGGGGAGTACGGGGAGAGGAGTATGCATTTTATCAAGTTGTGTCAACGTGACTTAGCTTTGGTTAGGAAAAGGTCCAGCTTCCCTTTATATGTTAATTGGGAATTGTTTTTAATACAGTGTTTGTGCCTGTGTTTTCATTATATAATTTCATGAATAATAACATACTTATTGTAAAATTCAGACAAGCAACAACACATTTATTGTCAACTAAGGGTCAGCAGCATGAAGCTGTGACCACAGTACTGACATGCACACTTAAAACTGACATGGCTAAAGGTTGCTTACTTACACATTCAATCACTGTGCAACGTTAGCACTCAGTGGAAATTTACGGCCACCAGAAACTGAGCGCATTACTCATTTCCTATTGTGGTCTAAAATAACTGCTGAGAAAATGATTAATCAATTTTGCTGATAAACACTCCACTGTACTCACTAGCTGTTTGCAAGTCTGCCTCACTACAATTTGCTCATTTTTTTCTTTGTTACTCAAAGTAGAACCAAAATAGTAGGTTAGAGCTATAATCTTAAAAAACAAAATCAAAGAGCTGGAAAACATTTCAAATAGTCCAACTCTTGGAAAGTGAACAATCTGTTGGTTATAATTCTCTGTTGATTGCATTAGCATAACCTTAGTACAAAAAAAAAAAAAAAAAGACTTGAAGCCATCATACTTTGGTTTCTAGACTGCCTTTTTTAAGCCTTTGGTAATTTTGGTGTTACAATCTAGTTTATTTCTTTTTCTAATTGTTTGGGGGTTTTTTTTCTTTTAATTTAAATACATTTTCACCCACATTTGAACGATAGAGTAGCTCTGGAGAGCTATTAGCTAACATTAGCTTGGTTAGCAAGGTACTACGGTAATTCAGTGCTAGCATATTGGACGGCAGTCTGATTTTGGCTAGCAGAAAACAGCTTTCAAACTAAATGAGGAACTGGAGAGACTGAACAACAAACATAGTGTGTCTTACGATGACTAAATGCTGAAGAAAAAACAACTGTCACTCAGATGCAGTTACAACTGATAAGATACAACTTTAAGCATAAAACAGGTTAGAGCAGGGGTGTCATACTCCAGTCCTCAAGGGCCAACATCCTGCTTGTTTTTGAGATATCCCTGCCCTACCAGCTGCTGAATACGTAGATCAGGTGTGCTTTGCCAATAAGAAGCTACAAGGGCAGTACAGTGGACCTCAAGGCCTGGAGTTCGACACCTGTGGGTTAGAGGACTGAACTGTGTAAATTCATCCCCCATACAATGGCCAGAAAGAACAAATTAGCTATTAGAAAAAGAATTAGCTATAGAGAACAAACTGTTTTTTGTACATGTAAGCAAAGTTTTAATGTGGTATATCTGAACATTTTAAAAAAGGAGTCTATGAGGACTGACTACAGACACCATAAAACACTGATGTGTCTTCCAAGTTAGGAAAATGAAGCCAATGCAGAAGTGCCTTAAATCTGCATTCTCTCTGATAGCAATGGTCCTACAGAATCTATGGGAAAAAAGCTTTCAGCCTTGATCTCGGTAAACACTTTCCTGCGGAGCTTATGGGCTCACTCTTTTTTGGTCAGATTTAATAAAAATAAAAATTAAAAATTAACATTCTGCAAATGGTAAATGGAATGGTACTTACCACCATATAGCACTCACCACTTATAGCACCTTTCTACTCAGTTGAACAGTCAGGCTTTCTAGGGCAACTCTTATTCACACAGTGACAAACATACTCATGCGGTGCTTTTATATATTCCAAAGCACTTTCTAACATTTACTCCCGAAAAATGCATCAGGATCCAAACTAGAGGATTCAGGGATTCAGTCAACGACCTTCTGATTAGCGGACAAACAGCTCTGTTGATGTGTTCCAGATTGAGTTCCAAGTGCCAAGTAAATATTTTCATCTGGAACATTCAATGATATGGGATTTCCAGTTTGGAAAGTTGGAGCAGCAACTTAAAGTTTACATTCCTAAACGGAGGCAGCAGATGCAAACAGTAGTAAAACTGTTGAACCTTTAATCTGTTGTGGATCTGTGACTTGTGCCACAGGCAGAGCATTGACTTGGCTCTATCCATGGATGTGCTGCAGCAGTCTTTTTAACCCCCACCCTCAAAAACATATTATTGTCTTTGCTAGTGATGCTTGAATTGGTCTACCTTGCTAAGAAGTAAAAAAGGTTTTTGTGCCCGCTCTGACACACTAAATCAGGAATGATGTCACTCCCGAGTCACCCGAGTAACAATCAGACAACATCTTACTCATACTATGTTTAAAAAAATGGAGGATTATTTGTGATATGAAACTGAAACTTCTTTGGCTAACAACTTGTCAATGAGGGAACGGCTTCACAGTCAGAAAAAGAGTATAAAAATCGCTCTTTTTGAGGTTCCAAAAGGAAAGCAAGGTAGCTACATCAGCAAGGTAGTTACATCAGCAAGGTAGCTACATCAGCAAGGTAGCTACATCAGCAAGGTAGTTACATCAGCAAGGTAGTTACATCAGCAAGGTAGCTACATCAGCAAATCTTTTATGCTGTCTATTGGACTAATTTAATTTTTTAAGCCAGCCTCAAGTGCCTGTCCAAGGAACTGCAGTTATTTACACTTCCATGTTAGCTTCATTTAAATAAAAAAGAGGAAAACAACTTCACTTATAGAATATGAACAAACAATACATGTTAATGAAATTTGGGCAAAACATTTGCAGCTAACATGTATTGTTGTTAGCTAAAGCTAACTGAAGGTTTTCAATGAATGCGAAGTTGACATTTTAAAAATCTCAGCTTGGTCAGCATGAACTTCAATAAGTTTGCTGTTAACCAGTGCTCATTTTGTTGACCAATAATTTTAAGTCACAGTTTTCATCAACAACCTTTTTTTTCCTGATAAAAGCAATTTTATAACTAACTAAAAACTAAGGTACAAGGGCAAAAACTATGATTTAAAGATGTTGAAACTTGCAACAGCGATTAAAAATTAAATGAAGATATTCTGGAGAAATGAGATCCAATGAGAACCAATTAAGTTGTGTAGAAAGGTGGGACTAGTTTGTAAGTGATCCAGTCAGAAGGGGATAACGGGATCACTTTTTTGCGAAATGGTACAACCAGCTCCCTGTTTTGTAACCCATGTGGCGCAACTCTCACCAGCAAAACCACATAAATCAGCTTTAGATTTAATCTTCTTTAATTTTATGGTAATGAAAAGAATTTAAACACCTAAATTATTACAAAACTGAAATGACATTTTAGTCAGAAGAATGACTGAAGATGAAGACTTCTTTTAATGGTTAAAGTATCAAATCAGACCAAAAGTTTTTTCAAATAAATGCTTTTGGGGAGGATATCGTGTGTAAACTTAACACTGAGTGAAATCCCAGTCAAAAATGTTAAAACTAGAAATGCAGCTAAAGTTTTGAGCATGAATCTTTTCCTCATGACATTTCTCTTGTATCCCTTTTTTAACAGCCTGTTTTTTTCACGTTTCTCTTTTAACTACTCCAGCTATGTCGTGTCTCCTCTTACCTCCTTCCCCAACTTATTCCCCCATTCTCCATATTCCCTCCTCCGTCTTCTCCCTCCCTCTGTCCCTCCACTTGTCTCACCTCTCCTCTGTCTGCTGTCGACACAGTCGAACGACTCAACAGCCAGTCTGACACGCAGGCCTGCTCCCTGGGCCATATAATGTGATTAAGACTCAGTGTGTTGCTGCACAGGTCGGGGAATGTTAGACTCTCTGTTTACCTGTCTGTCTCACAGCACCGGGAGTTTCTGGGCTCTTTGTGTCTCGAGGGATAGTTGACACAGAGACATGTGCGAAGGGCCTTTTTTTGTGACCTTGGAAAGTAAGCTGCAAATGTTTTGCCCGAATTTCATCAACATGTATTGTTTGCTCAGATTCTATTTCTTTTCTTCTTCCCTTCACAATCAGACCCTTTTTTCACAATCACTTTTATTTTTAAAATTTCAGGTGGAATGTCTGCACAGGAAGTATTGACAACTTTAAATTACTCCTCTCTGCACCTCTTGTCTGACACCTATTTCCTTTCAACACTATGTCTCTGGTGCGCACTCAAACACACACACGCAGGCATAGATATACACACACTTCTAAGTCGCTTGTGTCTTGTCACACACACTTTGGTTTTCCGGGGCTATCAAAGTGCTGAGTGCAAACTCTCTCCTCCAAAAACTGTCACATGTCGCCAGAGGTGTCTCGCTCCCTGCGGTAACCCTTTGAGCTCCTGGCACAAGAACAAGTCATTATTTCCATGGTAAAGGTCAGACGCTCTGTCACCTGACTCTAAAGTGGAGCTGAGTGGAGTCGCCCCGAGACAATGACCAAAGGTCAGTTTTCTGTTTTGACTCTCATACAGTAGGTGTAGATTTGAGGAGGACAGGCTGCTCCCAGATCTGCCTCTGAGCCCCTTTTG